AAATGTAGAAGTATCAACGTTAGGCTTAGCTATTAGTCTAATTACTTTCACCAGGCTGCGATAACTTTTATTATGGTGTTAATGATTCATTTCTGGTTTGTTTTTCTCTCCCTCTTTGTTATTTTTAACTAATTCACTTTGTAAGTTAAAGATATGATCGTAGAATATTTTATATACTTAAAAAAGTGGAAATTGTTATTAAAGTGAGCACAGATTTTTGTAATAATACTGATTGACTCAGCGGCTTATGAGCCTCAAAGTAGCTGACGTTGTGAGTATAGAGATGCTTATACCACTCTCTAAAGTTAGCTTAAGTTATAAATATATTGAAGTTTATATCACTCTAAAGTTAGCTGAACTTATGAATATATAGAAGTTTATATCCCTTTCTAAAGTTAGCTGAACTTATAGATATATAGAAGTTTATATCACTCTCTAAAGTTAGCTGAAGTTATAGATATATAGAAGTTTATATCACTCTCTAAAGTTAGCTGGTATTGTGAGTATGGAAATGCTTATATCACTCTCTAAAGTTAGCTGACGTTGTGAGTATAGAGATGCTTATACCACTCTCTAAAGTTAGCTGAACTTATAAATATAGAGAAGTTTATATCACTCTCTAAAGTTAGCTGAAGTTATAGATATATAGAAATGTATATCACTCTCTAAAGTTTGCTGGTATTGTGAGTATAGAAATGCTTAGATCACTCTCTAAAGTTAGCTGACATTGTGAGTATAGAAATGCTTATATCACTCTCTAAAGTTAGCTGACATTGTGAGTATAGAAATGATTATATCACTCTCTAAAGTTAGCTGACATTGTGGCTATAGAAATGATTATATCATTCTCTAAAGTTAGCTGGCATTGTGAGTATAAAGATGCTTATATAATCCTATAAAATTAGCTGGCATTGTAAGTATAAAGATGCTTATATCACTCTCTAAATATATTTGACATTGTGAGTATAGAAATGCTTATATCACTCTCTAAAGTTAGTTGGTATTGTGAGTATAAAGATGCTTATATCACTCTCTAAATATATTTGACATTGTGAGTATAGATATGCTTATATCACTCTCTAAAGTTAGCTGACTTCATGAGTCTGGATACTTATATCACTCTTCAAAGTTAACTAGCTTTGTGTGTGCGTATAGATGCTTATATCACACACCAAAACTAACTGACTTTCTGTGTCTATAGATGCTTGTATCACAGTCCAAAATTAGCTAACTTAATAAGTATGGAGATAGATAACTCACACTCTACATTATCTGACTTTGTGTGTATGAATCATAACATTACACTCTTAAAGTTAAATGTGTCTATAAGTGCTCATGTTACACTTCAAACAACTTTACGACTTTTGACAATTTAGGCGTCTTCTAGTCATCTTCAAAGAGATTTTGTAGAGATTATATTGTCCTTGACATATTTTCAGCTGATGAGAAACTCGTAATTTAGTGTCTGAAGACGTAATGACCTGAAATTCTTCCTCAATTCAACACTATAGGAGTTGTAATGACAAATTATTCTTTAATTCAACACCCTAAAGGCTGTTTAACGTGAAATTCTTTCTTGATTCAACACCCAGAAAGTTGTTATGACCTAAAACTCTTCCTTCATCCAACACTCAAGAAGTTCACCAATCAAAACGTTAATTATATCTGTTAAAAGCACTTACTAGAATGCTTTTGAAATTGAAGACTTATTTCAGCTACAGAAGCAGGTAAAAATCACAGGGGTGATCCTATCTATTATGCATTTGTTTGATGTAAAATCTGTTAAAATCAGATTTGATATGTGTAGGTAAATTCACGTGTGCAGTGGGTATGTACACGTATTTTGCTTTCAGCCTTCGTTATAAACTTTAAATAATTCAGAAGTTAATTTATAAAATATCAGTTCATAAAATATCGAACATCGTCTATAGAGCGTGAGAAAAAAAAAGAAAGCTATCATAAAAAGAACGTCAAGATTTAAAAGAAAACTAAAATGGAAATCTAATAATAAAAGCCAATTATTTAAACTTTATTACCATTGAGATATCAAATGAATATCCACCCCATATTTCGTTAAGATAATGTATTTAACAAAAGTTAAGGTAGATTGATTAAAATATGTCAAGGCATCTATAAAAAAAAAAGAATGTTGTTCAGATAAATTTATCGAAAATATACACTCATTCATTAGCTTAGGACTCATGAGCTGTTGATAAAGTTAAAAAGTCATATGATCACAGGTAAGATAAATAACATAGAATATTCACAGGAAAACCTGATAACCAAACGATATGTTTTACGGTAGAGTGTTTTTTACAACGCCCCCTATATATTCACTTTACTTGATTGGTGACGACGTATAATAAGCACCTTTCAAGATCATCATCGTCCCTGTCAGTCACACAACAAGAAATATTAAAGGAGTAAATAAAGTCTACGTTTGTAATGTTTTCTTCTCTGTAAGCACTCACACTGCACAGCCTGTTGTGCTTAATTTCACTAGAAACGTTGATAATTCTGCTTCACCCCAACTCTTCCGAGATTTTTAACCTGCAAAATCATGGACTAAACGACCAGATCAGAAATCCCTAAGATCAGGCAAAGTTGTATGTATTGATTGATTGTTTGTTTGGAATTAAGCACAAAGCTACACAATGGGCTCTCTGTGCTTTGCCCACCACGGGTATCGAAACCCGGTTTCTAGCGGTGCCAGTCCGCAGACGTACCGTTGTGCCACTGAGGGGGGGGGCAGTTGTTTTTTAACGTAAAACTATTAAAGAGAGAAAAGGAAAACAGCCATTAGCAACAACCGCCTAACCCGCTACTTCTCACCAAACAGTAGAATAGACTGTCACTTTTATAAGGCACTCCAGCTGAAATTGCTTTCAGCAGCATATCGCTTAGATCCTTTGATCCACAGCTTGATATAATAACCACGAAGCCGCTCATAGCCCTCACAATAATAAGGATTAAATATGTTTAGCGAAAACTCAAATTCTTTACAATTCAGGTACAATAAATAAATATTAAAACATGACTTATTATTTTTAGTAGACACAATGTATTTCTTCTCTCTCTCTCTCTATATATATATATATATAATATTAAATGATAGTTGAATTCATTCTATACGTTATTATCTGCAGTCTATAAAGATTTGATATCCATCAAAACTTCCAATGGATGCCAAATCTCTATAGACTGCGGATAATAACGTATAGAATGAATTCAACTATCATTTATATATTAGGGATGCATGGGTACTCAGCCAGGTATTCGGCCTCGGCCGGGTATTGGACTACCGGGTAATGAATGTCGAAGTTAAGCATCTAAGCCCTAATGTTTGTGGCAACTAACGCGGTACTGAAAGTTACAGTCATTAATTGGTTTAGTTATAAAAAGAAAAACGTGTTCCGAGCAACAAAAACTGACCGCCCGCTGAAAGTCGAGGGTTCAGAGAACAATAGGGGTTAATAGCAGGCATGGCTTGAGAAGTGGATTTCTGGGGATGGTGGGGGTTTTGAGAACAACAATAGGGGTTAGATTTGAAAAGTTGGGGCTAGGCATTGAAAGTCGAAAGTTGTGCTGTGCCCAAATATCAGGTTATAAGTGAGATAAATCGTCAATAACTACTGTCGAAAAGTTTCAAAAATGTTTCATGATTTCTCTATTTAATTTATAGAAAAAAATATTTTTTTTAAATAACGCTTTCTTATATAGGATTATAAACATGGACTTTGTGAATTGATTCCTGTGATGCCTAACATTATTTCGACCAAAATATTCTTTAGTTGTTTATACTCTTAAGGAATTTACTCATACAGCACAAAGTAAACCATTTGTTATATTTGTTGACAAAGAGCTAAACGACTGTGCAAATATCCCTAGTAAAGTGGTGTGGGGAGAAAGAACTGAACGATCAACAGTGTATTTGTTCAACAACTGTTTCTGTCATTTTTTTTAAACCAGAACTTCTTCACACTACTTTCAGTGGGGGAAGAATATGTTGTCAGTGGGTTTTTTTTTTTGGTTGTTCTCGGAAGAGCACTTTAGCTTTCACTATTATTAACTTTTGTATGATTGTGTTGCTATTTTTTTAGGTGTTTTTGTTTTTTCAAGGTTCTTAGCTTACAAGAAAGCAAGCGAGCAAATAAACAGAAAGGCAGGTAGTCACAGATAGCTGGATATACGAATTTAGTTTACATTTAAGGTAGAGAGCTTATAAAGACATTGTAAGGTAGAGAGATTTCTAAACCAGATACATAACATTTTTGTAATCACAAGCAGAAAGACAGAGTGGTAAAAACTGGATGATAATTTTTTAATTATTTGGGAACGTTCTCAGCTACTGCATAAGCCCTCGACATATACACGCTTTTGGAATCATCTAATGCTTTTACATATCACATAAAGTCAATAATGAATACTATTTCAAAGTTTGGAGATGGAACATCAACTTGCTTCACGAGATCTGTAGTTGAGTATACTTGAATGTAAGGCAACTGCCTGTTGTAAAAAACACAAGTGTAGAGGTCAACGTTTCGAAGGTCTTACGTTTTCGTCTTCAGAGAGACGAAAATCTTTCGAAACGTCATCTTCTACACTTGTGTTTTTTTTATAGCAGTTTTTTTTCTATTCCAGTATACTCAACATGAATACTCTGCTTAAATAATGCACCAAAAATATTTTGTAGATGTTTTGACCACATATGAAGGAAACGGCTAGCACAATGCTCACGATAAAATAAAAACACCTGTTTACTTTCCACACTTTAGATAAAACTGACACCTGTTCTGGGGGATTAAACAATAATTCTTTCACATTATCCCAAATATTACATTGTCTTTGTGGTTATTAGTCACGAGTAAGTTATCATTTCTGTTAACAGGTGCATCGTGGAGTGATCTAACAACTTGTATTAAAGTTTAACGATTCTTCTATTTGCATTTATGTAAAGTAATAAACAATAAGAGACAGTCATCTGTTGGATATTTTTACAGGTGCCGCTGTCAAGGTACATAAATAAATAGTGAATGTTATTCTACGGACACCACACATCAAGAGCTCCATGAGAATTTGACTAAGACTGTGAAAGTGGAACGAGGCTAGGTTAGAGTTCTAGTTAATGTGGACATAGCAGTACAGTGACCTGCGCAGTGACGGCACGTTTCCTGTGTTATCGTGGCTGAAATGAATTGATTCCAGTACGAGCTTAATGCTTGAAGTTACTAGACAACCTTCGTCAGTGTGTGTGATCAGCTGAAGTAAAATAACAATGATTTTGATTGACAATTAAGATGTCAATTTCAGTGACGTTACAACATATATTTAGCTTTAAACCAGCTAAATAAACTGAGCGAAGTATGAATCTTTTTCAGTTACCACTCGGCATTGTAAATAAAGTCAAATTCTGACAATACAAGTTTGTCTACTAGTTGATATCCACGAAGCCAGAAACTTCTGTTACAAGTTTTAAAAGTCCGAAATGAAATACGTATGTAAAAAAGATGCTATAACATGCTTAAATCCGAATAAAAATATTTTCAGTTTTGTTTTTTTTATTTGAATAAACTATCTTCTGTGTATCAGTTAAATCGAACAAGGAGAAATTCTTAAAAGTTTTGCAGTTGCTAATTGCACTTGCTGAAATATTAAATCGACACTGAAAATCATAAGTGTTCTTTTTATTTATAGGTATATCAATGATCTAATCTCGAAAGTGGAAAATCATTACGTAAAAATAATTTTTCATAAGTTTAACTTATATTTTGATACGTATTGGTATCTCTAGTAACATATTTTAATTATTCGTCTTTAGCTCTCGATGAAGGTAAACCTTAAACTGGTGATGATTTAGCTAAAAATGTGTTCCTATTAAATGAACTAAGGAAAAATGACGTTAGTAATCTAAAAAAAAAGTTTTGTATTTGACTTGTTTTACCTATGTATTTACATTGTAGTTGTATTTAGATCATACTATTTAGAACCCCTCAAGTTTTTTTTTTTTTGTACATATAGAAGAGGCCTTGGAGTTCGGTTTTAGTTTCACGACATCTGGGTTCAAGATTAACCCAAGCTTTGATTAATTTCTATCACAGGATATTTAAGTTTACAAGAAACGAAAAGCACACGCAAGTGAACGCATTAATCTCACCACCAGAGGTGGAATGATCCTGTATACTAAGCGAAAACTAACATATATATATATTGCTTGCATTCATGATATTGTGAAGGCAAATCATTCGCCACCTCGATATAAAATTTCTACCAAAACGATTGCTTATTCATTGAAGATAAGATACATAAAAATATCAATGTATTTTAGTGAATATTTTGTGAAAATCACTGACTCGTTTGATTCAGGGTACCGGTTTGGACTGGAATTTCACAATCATCAACAACCCAAAACATCAACAACATTACATGTTTTTCCCTCTGCGTTCCCTGTAAACACTGGGCAGTGTAAATAACGATTATCTCACCGAAGTGTTAATATTAGTCATATGTTTCAACGTTTCATTGGACCAGACCGGAAGTATACATGTACATCCTTTAGCTGAAATAACAGAATGTAAATCCCGGCTGTTCCTTATCGCCAGTTCTCTCGCCAGTGGGTGCGGTAAACAAGATAACATCCACTCCAAACTGTTCTTATTTATCATCCACTCCACGTAAACAAAATGTCAAACGGGATTAGCTGTAATTAGTATATAGTATACAAGAACAGGTTTCACTTCAGGCTTTTTATTGTTTACGTTTTTTGTGTGTGTGTGTAAAATACATAAGATAATTTCATACAATTACCCCTCCCCCATCAAAATTAACTTTGTTTCTCAAACATAAGCTATTGTTTAACTTTTTAGTGTAACTTTACTTAACGTTCTAAAATAAGATACGTTATTTTGTCACACACAAACATGATTTATTTCAAATATTTACGTGTCTTATATTTTGGATCTGGCCTTCCCCTATTCAAGATAACTCTTTAGCTGTTTTATATGTATCTTGTTTTGCATATAGTTTATTATAAGGAAGTACTTCCGTTTTTTCTTTTGTTTTTTTTTTCGTTCATGATAGTATGTTGTTATCGAGAGGCCGTTACGTTTTGAATATATTCTTAGGTCTCTGATTGCCAGTGGTGTTATTTTTACTTGTTTCCAAACATACTGTTTATCTTTCCACACTTTTCCCGAACGTCAAGATAGTAATGGTTTCACAGTGAAAATAAAATGTTATGTACTCTGATAAGCAAATACTTTATATACAAACGAATGGATGCATAGATAAATACCACAATCAACAAAGTGTCGATAAAGCTTTTTTTTTTTGTTTAACTCATTTTTTTCATAATACAGAATACGTGAAGTAAGGCCTTTATCCACGTTATGTCAATTCAGTAGTGGCTTTATATTTTATTCATTGCCCCACTGGCTATATTTAGAGATTCAAATGGTGCTACAAAAGACTTGTACATTTTGGATTTGATTTTGCATCATCATCTAATAAGATATGTGTCATAACACACGCTGTCGGAACAGATCGGGATCAGTAAGATATGTGTAATAACATACGCTGTCGGAACAGATCGGGATCAGTAAGATATATGTTACAACACACGCTGTCGGAACAGATCGGGATCAGTAAAATAAGTGTTATAACACACACTGTCAAAACAGATCGGGATTAGTAAGATATGTGTTATAACACACGCTGTCAGAACAGATCGGGATCAGTAAAATATGTGTTACAACACACGCTGTCAGAACAAATCGGGATCAGTAAAATATGTGTTACAACACACGCTGTCAGAACAAATCGGGATCAGTAAGATACGTGTAATAACATACGCTGTCGGAACAGATCGGGATCAGTAAGATATGTGTAATAACACACGATGTCGGAACAGATCGGGATCAGTAAGATATGTGTAATAACATTGTTATAACACATATTTTACTGATCCCGATCTGTTCCGACAGCGTCACACTGTCAAAACAGATCGGGATCAGTAAGATATGTGTAATAACACACGCTGTCGGAACAGATCGGGATCAGTAAAATATGTGTTATAACACACACTGTCAAAACAGATCGGGATGAGTAAGATATATATAATAACACACGCTGTGAAAACAGATCTGAATCAGTAAGATATGTGCAATAACACACGATTTAAGAAGAGATTGGGATCAGTAAGATATGTGCAATAATACAAGCTGTCAGAACAGTCAGACGTAGCCGAGTGATGAGCACTCACAATTCCCGTTCCATTACTGCAAAAATGCTTTCCGCACTTTGAGGCTCCTATGAGAGTGACGCTCAAATCCCTGTCAGACAAGAGTAGCAGCGACTTTGGTGTTGGAACAACTAGGTCCAAGGCATAATCACTCCCAACAAGGTTGTTTGTCAACGTAAAAGGAAAAGAAAAAAGGCAATGCTGCTGATAAAGAGCTTGTGAAATTCTGTCTGCTGTCGAGAGATACCACGTAAACTTCTGGCCTGTAAACGGTCATTTCTCTGATATTTCTCCAGAGATTTCAGTCTTTAGTGGTTATTCTAATCAGGCCACCTGAGTACGATATTTACTGGGAAGGATTTATATTATTGCCTTCTCTGAAAATAAAATAATTTCCCAATCACTCACTCAGTAAAACATTCGCAGGCGGGATTAACTATTTGTCCTTATCAAATGAAGATATAGAAAGTAGGACGTAAAAGCAACCCCTCCTCCCCAGTGGCTCAGCGGTAAGTGTGAAGGCTTATAACGCTAAAAAATAGGTTTTGATGATACTTGTGGTGGGCACAGCACGCGTAGCCCATGGAGTAGCTTTGTGCTTAACATCAAGCAAATGAAACGTAAAGACAAAACAGGTCACTCAGAATTAGTTAAAGTTGGTTGTTTGGTTTTGGAAAGAAATAATACTAATACTAATCTCATCAATTTTGCCATTTGTTAAACATTAAAAAACAACCAAACAATAACATAAATATTTATATTAAAAAACAACCAAACAATAACATAAAGATTTATATTAAAAAACAAATTTAAGCAACCTGCAGAGAAAGCACGATTTTAAAAAAGTTTCTACGTGAACACTTTTCATACAAAAGATGGAAGTTTGATGTAACACTGTGTAAATCTTAGCAAAAACGACGTTAATTTCTGGTTAATACGCTATTCTGCCAAGGTGGTTTAACAGAATTCAAGTGTGTCGTGAAATATTAAAATAAATGTACCTTATAGTAAATGAAACATACGTATGTAACGGCTTTTAATGAAAACAATCGGTACGAACAAAACACAGACGTTTTCTTCCTTCTCAAAGTATTACTTAACTGGAAAGGGAACATTTAGAACATATTACCTTTCCTTCGGAGATATGTTAAAATGTTTGTTACTGTACTATATCCAGTATTATCATGTAAAAAAAAAAGACACAAGTGGGAAAAATGTAGGTAAATGTTTTTCAGTCACTTTTTTCTTACTTATCTAAAACCATAAAAAAATCGTCTTTTGTGTAAAAAATTCCAACCAAGATTTCAAAATCACTGTGTGAACAGTTCTTCTGAATGAATGGTCTGGAGTGGCCTTTGTGAACAGTCCTTCTGAATGAACGGCCTCGTATGGCCTGTGTGAATAGTCCTTCTAAATAAACGGCCTTTCGTGGCCTGTGTGAACAGTCGTTCGGAATGAATTAGATTCGACCCTCATGTAGTTTTGCGCGAGAATCCAAAAACAAACAAACATGTATATTTTTTCTGAGTAAATTTTGAAGTACATGATGGTGGTGTCTATTCAAAAAAGTTTCTTCAATAACCGAGACTTGTAATTACTCTAAAAACCGAAATCAAGCTCATCCTATAGAATGAGATTTATAAGAGACTAGACCTCCGTGACCCGTTGGTTCACCCACTATTCAGAGGTTATGAAGAATTCAAGCTAATTTCAATATTGCACCGAAATGAAGGTTTATTTTGAGATAATTCAATTAAATATTTCAATCCATTCGTGTTATTCATAATTCAAGGAAAGATATTTGATTGCTGATTGGGAGTAAAAGGAAAGACCATTTCATTTTTCAAAAAAAGTGAAGTAAGAAGTTTCGTAAAGAGCGCGAACGGTAGTGTGAAGTAAAATTACTCAT